TGGATTGCTGCCAAGGTTTGTCTGAATTGCTGCCAAGGTTTGTTGGACTTGCTGCCAAGGTTGTTTGCTTGGCTTTCAGCCACCGAGATTCTGGTGTTGTTATTAAAGGACATTCTCATTAAGCGTGTGTCGGCTTTCGTTACTGGATGGAGGAGGGAGTCAGAACATGTATCTATACATATTTGTATGTATATGTGCATTAATATTCAGATAATTCAAATATTAGGCAATATCTGCACATGCTGACTTGCATTAAATCAAGCAGTTCAGACACACCAAAGTCTTAATAGCAGCATACATGGTTTTGGACAGTTTTTGAATGATAGAAAGCGAAGTGTTTAGCAAATCATTGCCCTCTCTTCTCATAAGACCTGCCATAACACACGATTGGGTGGAAACAACATCATAACAAAAGTTGCCTAGATAACACAACTGAAATGTTTTGGTTGTATCGTTTGAAAGCTATGTAAAATTCACCCCGGTTTATAAATTTGCCATTGAAAAAATACAATCAAAGCCTAGAAAGGAAGCAAATGTAGACTAGGATGCAACCACTTCAGAAAGCAACACCCATGTCAGCAGGAATCAACATCAGGGAAAAAATAATGCCCCAATCAAGAAGCCATCAAGGAGGAAGCCCTCCCATTCCCCCAAGATTGGCAGGGCTCAAGTTAGCATATATAACAACCAGCAAATCTTGACTCTTCTCCCCACTGATAATATAACCAAGCCTAGTAATGAAACATCTGCAAGAAAACAAGCAAGCTCATTGGCTACCAAGGACTTAACAGCTCAACCCTGAGCTACATATTTTCTCCTATTAGTTATTGGTGACTATCACATTATCACCACAAGTATACCTAGTTCACCCACCTTTATAAACCGGCCAGCAAGATGCCTCCAACCCTTCCTTAAAGTCATATACATATTATTCTTGTGAAATTCTTGTAGTTGCACTAAAGGGAAATTTGAAATGTACCTCCATCAATGACTGCTACACTAGCTGAGTCATTGGCCCCTCCACTAGTGCTGTGATCAATACTCCACTGCCAATCATAGCGAAGATAAATCCACTGTTCACAGAGGACATGAAGTCGATAGGGAATCTCCTGATCCCACACCAGGGATACAAGAAGTGGGCTGCCCTCCAGGCTGCCAAAATGCAGGCTTTGTTTCAGGTACCAGTGATGGTTTCCTGTTGTCCACAGCTGGACTGCAATTAGAAGACAAAATGGTTATAGAACACAAGGTTAGTAATAGTACTTTAATGATGTAAGCTCCAAATCTTATTGATGATGTGGTACCAAAACTGATTATAACATGAACTCCTCCCAACTGATGGGTTCTACAAAAAGTTGTTCTATCTAATTACTCAACATAGGATGCTTGCCTTTTCCTCTCTATCCCTAATGTCTAAAATTCCAGGTAAGAGGCATGGCAGAAACACTAATTGGATCAGACTTGATTTTAGGGGCTGCCAGTTGCTGATTGCTAGATGGACTCAGTTATAGCACCTTTAGAAAACCTGAAGGACTAGGTTGGTGACAGATCCTCCTAGAGAAATCTATTAATTTATCTATCCCAATATTCAATATCAACGATGCCATATATTCATCATCAATCAATTACTGATTCCCTTTAATTCTCATATCTCCTTTATCTTGTTGAGAAGAATTAAAACACATGTTCTCCACTGCAATCTTAGACACCTATATTTGCAGTTTTGATACTATATCCTCCAGATTAAAAAAATGGCTGAGAATAGCCATGCAGAAAACCAAAATACAGTAGGCAAATACCATAGGACTGTGATAAATTGAATAAGTTCTATAAAATTAAGAAACGAATACTGAATGTTCTTACCATACATCTTTCTTTGACAACTACTGTCGCTTTCCAGTGCTTCCACCCAGGCAGCCAATATTGTAGAGTCAGAATTCCAGAGCAGCTCATTTACCTACAGAAAAGCCAATAGTGTCATCACCTATGTAAAGCATTTTTAACAGCAATTTTTCCTGCCTTATATAACAACTTGATTAAAATCTTCTCTGTGTAAAGTTCTGCTCTGGGTAATCTGCAAACTTGTTCATGTAGACAACTTGCAGTTTAAAAAATAATATCACTGATAGAAATAATATCAGATACACTAGTGAGAAAAAAAAGTCTGCAGATTCAATGATTGTTAACTGAGTCATGCCTCAAGAAAAATTACATCCTAGGTCCTACCTTCACTTGGCCTTTTTGGAAAGGAAGAGTGAATTCACCATGAAGGAGCCCATTTTGTTCTATGAACACAATGTCATGTTTGTTTACTTTATCCTGTGTAGAAGCAATCAAGCTTCCTGAGGGCCTGAAATAAATCCAGAAAAGAAAGGAATGAAGGGATAATTTACAACAGGTTTTCAAGCAACTTTTCTCCAAATATTCAGATTTTTCTTTAAAAAAAAAAGTTCTCATGTGTGGTTGAGTCCCAATTTTGGTAATGTTGACAATGTTGGTAGGTTTTACCTTGGGCCCTATATTTGTTATTCACTGCTTTTTATAGTATCTTTTTCTTGTGTTTTTTTAAAATTCTGTTAGCCACCCAGAATCATATGTTTGAGATGGGTAGCCATGTAAATTGAATAAATAAATGCATTAAAAATGGATTAGGAGTGATTTAAAGGGATCATAATCCTACACCCTAAATTAATGGTGATAGGATCCACCGCTCTCTGATNTATGTGGCTGACCTGCTTTTTCTGTGAGAATGGACATTACGTGACTTCTACCCGTACACCCTTGGAGGGAATTTCTGTATTTTTACACAGAAAAATACAGTCAGTTACATTGACCAAGGAGGTCTTAATGAAACTATCAATTCCCATACTTTTCATAAGTCAAATTTACTAATGTATCTCATTTGAAAAAAGGTTGCATTAGAAAAACTGGGGTTCTCTCCCAAGAATTTCTCCCAAATACAGACATATAAGAGTTATAAAATGTAATGGGATCTGAGGCAATCCATTGTTCCAGCCAACATATAGAACTGAAGCCATATTCCCATGAACAAAAATAAAAGACAAAGAAACCTACAAATTATCTGGTGGACATGTGAATATTTCCATGCCATTTTCTGGGAAATAATATTGAAGTGGCAGCCAGTTGCTTTTTCCTGACATTTCTCTGATTTCTCAGTCTAGCTTACAACCTTGGAATTCTCTGATGGTCTCCCATCCAAACATTAACCAATGGTGACCGTACTTAGCTTCTAAGCCCAGACAAGGTTGGTCAAAGATTCAGATTACTTACCCAGTCTGTAAATGGATAACTTGTTTTCAGCATCCAGAACAGCAAGATCTCCACTCTGAGACTTTGTAGAGAAAGCAACTTGATTGACAGCAGAGGAGAGCTGGAGCTGATATGTACAAAGTGGTGGGGGAACCACAGCATGAAGAAAGGCTGTCCATAGAACCTTATCTTTCAAAAATGAAAAGGGAAGAAAGTTCATTTAAGTATCCGAGGGGTGTATATGTGTATGTGCATGTATGTGTGTATGTACAGTATATGTATGTGTACATATGTATCTGTTGTGGCCCAGCAGGAGCCGTTGGAGCTGCCACCAGACTCTGACAGCGAGGGGCCCTATGAGTTGGCTCTGGAGGATGTGGAGGACCCTGGAGTTCCAACTCCAAGCAGGGCGCAGAAAGACTGATGGCCACCAGCCTTGGACCAGTGGGGAGGAGACAAGGGAGAGTGANATTCACATTTTGTCCTTTGAATTGAAAGTGATGCACAATCATAATAGCAACGACAGGAAGGCAAAACTGAAGGGCATTTGAAATAAGTATATAACTGTTCTTATGCTTCCTTCAAGGGACGCGGAGACTCAGTGTCTAAGACACTGAGCTTGTCAATCAGAAAGGTCGGCAGTTTGGCAGTTCGAATCCCTACTGCTGCATAACAGAGTGAGCTCCTGTTACTTGTCCTAGGTTCTGCCAACCTAGCAGTTCAAAAGCATGTAAAAATGCAAGTAGAAAAATAGGGACCACCTTTGGTGGGAAGGTAACAGGGTTCCGTCCACCTTCGCCATTTAATCATGCCGTCAACATGACCATGGAGACGTCTTCAGATAGTGCTGGCTCTTCGGCTTTGAAACAGAGATGAGCACCGTCCCCTAGAGTCAGGAACAGCTAGTACATAAGTGCGAGGGGAACCTTTACCTATGCTTTCTTCAAAGACTCAAAATCAGCATAGCACGCCAATAGCTTTTATTACATTGGAACAATTTCTGCCAACTTGAAAATGGTTTATAAGGGTTATAAAGTGTACCAAAGTTTTTATTTGACAGAAGTGAAAGCTGACTACCAGTTTACAGCTACGGGATAGCACTGATATTTACCTTCATGGGTGCTCCATTGAGCCCCATGGGTCTTAGTGACATAATTTATAGTACGACTGCACATCAACAAAAATGTATTACAAAGTTACCCATAAAAATGCCAATTTACATAGTCCTCAACTTACAACATTAATTTAGCGACTGTTTGAAGTTACAACAGGACTTTCAACTTTACTCGCACTTATAACCATTACAGCATTTCCACAGTTATAGTCACATGATCAAAATTTGAGCGTTTAGCAACTGGCATGTATTTATGATAGCTGAAGTATCCTGGGTTCATGTGATCGCCTTTTACAATCTTTTCAGGTAGTTTCTGACAAGGAAAGTTAACTGGGAAGCCAGATTTGCTTATTAACTTATTAATCTAACAACTGCAAGTGATTTGCTTGACAACCATGGCAAAAAAGATTGGGTGTCACTCACTTAATAATTGCCTTGCTTAACAATGAAAATTCTGGTCTCAATTCTGGTTGTAAGTGAAGGACTACCTGTAACACTAGTATGAACCACGGGGGTGGGGGGGGGCAGTGGTTAGAGTGCAGTACTGCAGTTACTTCTGCTAATTACCGGCTGCCTGCAATTTGGCAAATCTCACCAGCCTCCCAGCCTCCCGAGATGGGTAAAATGAGGACCCAGATTGTTGGGGGCAATATGCTGATGCTGCAAACCTCTTAGAGAGGGCTCTAAGGCACTATGAAGCAGAATATAAGTCTAAGTTCTATTGCTATCTCACACATTGGGCATTTCCTAACACAACCAATCATGCACCTTAAAGGACTGTTCCACTACAGTACTATTTAACGCTTCAGAAATACGTCAGCAAGCTGTAAGAGAAATATATATATATATATATTGAAAAATGACCTTGTCTCCATCACCAGTATTTATGCTGTCAAAGTTTCTATGTTAGTTCAAGTAACCAGTTCAAAAAACAAAAAAAAGCATTCAGGAGGAAAGTGGCCTTTTATTCCAGAACCACACAAAATAGTTTGATTTTCATTAATGCAATAAACATAAAATCCTGTCCAGTACCAGATATTGGCATATCCTTCTTGTCCTGTGGAGCACATCTTCAGATGATGAATAACTGTGTGCATTGGGAGGTAGCACTGGCTAGCAGCTAAGAATAAGTCATCTTGCAGCCAAGTAAGAAAGCGAAGCCACAGTGGATTTCTTCCTCTTTTGTCATCACACAGGTCAATTCTATGATAATTGTTCCCCCAAAGACAAAGGCATTTAGATGAGTGATTAATACTAAATTACACAATTTTCTAAAATACATCTAGGCAAATTGGCAGAAAATATGGACTCACCCAAATATCAGTGACTCTATAATAGTTTTCATGACACAAGTATTCTATGGTAGTTATTACAATATAGTCAAGGGTAAATTTACATGTGTATCTTTATTGTTACCATCAACCTATTTGCATGTCAATTCAACGGCAGTGCTGTTAAATCAGTTGATTTATTTTACATGTTGACTAATAAGAAGTATACAGCAAGTCTTCTCCAAACTTGGCATTCTCCAGATGTGTGATCTAATTCTTGGTAATTTGGTGAAGTGAAGCCACATATTTGGCGAGTGAAGCAATTGGAAAAAGCTATGTTATAAAATCTAGGAAAACTGTCTATGAGAAATAGACCTGAAAGCTATTTCATACATCTTACAGCATTCTTCCCAACTAGAGGCTTCAAGATGTGATGGAAAAGAGTCCTGATAACCAGAGCCAATATGGATCAGTTAGCCAGAAGTATGGGAGTCATACTTAACATAGCTGAATGACATCTAGTTCAGACCACAGCATTAACAGTATCTATGCAAACACAACCTCTTATTTATTCAACTTACACCCTATCTTTGTTGATGAGAGACCGAGAGAGTGATCTCTACTAATTATCTCTAACTATAGATTCTGTGTTAATTTCTATGTACACTTCCCAAACAGTAACTTTCATTTAGAAAATGAAAGAAAGGACCATCCTGGAAATTGGGGGTCCTATAGAACCATTCCCTATCTCTAACTAATGACTCCAACCAGTGCTTTCCAGAGTCAAGTGTAACATCTAATACCTGTATGATGTTTCCAGCCGAGGAACTGCAGCTGTAAATCTTTTTCCACCAACTGCACCCATCTTAACTGTAGAGTCCATTTCTGGATGATTATCTGTCAAAAAGGAATAAGGTATATCATTAAGTTAAATCACACACAGCTTTTAATCTTTATTGCCACAATATTATTCTTTAAGGTTATGACTTAGCGAATAAAACATCAGGTGCCCATTCTGCATGGACACCTCCAAAAATAAGTACAATCTATTTTCTAACAGAAGTGTTCTATAATTTCCAAACAAATATGACCTATGATTCTTCTATATCAAACATTTCCTGAACAATGAAGGCTGCGATGAGAAGAGAGAGAAGCTACCATAGGTCTTTTCTCTTCCAGGCATCTTCGAGTCCCTTCCTTCTTCCATGATTGCTCTAAGTCTAAGAGAACTGGCTGCACCTCAGCTGTGACTTTGAAGGACTAATAAAAGAGGGAAATTCATACAAAAGGGAACCATCTAGTCACGTTATGTAAGAAGGAAGAGATACGTACCACTCTTTCCTTCTACATTATTTTTTATAAAATGGTGACACTGAGATTGTTCTTCATATGAAAGTAATTAGCAATCAGATCAGTTCACCATCATCCTGTTTGTCTGCAAGAAGCAGCTGCTGAAGAGCGGTGGGATTGCCTATAGAAGTGAGGGAATCAAGAAGGCCCTATTATATATTTCACTACAAGAGAGTTTAGAAACATGATACTACAAGAGTCTTATAATACAAGGCTTCAAATTGGCGGACAGGACTTGATTGCTAATTACTTTCA